CCATCCAGTTCAGCCTCCATGCATAAGGGAATCATTTCCCATGGGATATCCATATAAAATATTGACTTGCCTTGTTTGATATGACTTTAGGAGTTAATGCTGTGAGACTGGCAATCTACTGCAAGAGAAGGGATAATGGGAAATCCTTGGGTCTCCCATCAACAGCCTTTCCAAGGGGAGGGGGGCTATTGTGCAGAACAGATCTTGAAGATCTGGAACAAGGCCCGAAGCCTGCTGGGAAATGCAATCACAGGTGGAAACTGTAAGGACAGGGAGGAGTAAACAAAGGCCTTGAAGACATAAATTATATTCCAAAGAAATTCCCAGGAGAGAAGCATTTGTAAAATGCTATTACAGCTGAGAAAGCCATTGGTCTTGCTCAGTGAGATAGGTTTATTTCTAGGAATATGATGTCATAATGATTCAACATGTCCAATTCGCCACCTACTTCCACCTAACAGATAAACAATTAATTAAGTCGCACCCCTGGACTAATCTGGAATATATGCGAGCTGCTGGGTGCTACTACTTACTAGGAAAGACAAAACTCGAAGGCCAGATCCCCAAAGAGAATAAATCAGCATAGCTCCATTGCAGTCACTGGAGCAATGATGACATGTACTTCCTGAGCGTCTGGGCCAGTATAAAGCCTGGAGATAATAGTGGCCAGAGCGATGTTGGGGACTGGGTAGGCTGCTGTACTCTGTCACTCTGAAAAATACATCCTAACAAAGTTATGACTGTTGCCTATTCCTGCTAACACTGCAGATGTGGAAGCTCTCCTGACTTCAGTGTAGCTGCTCATGCAAGCTCTTTGTTGAGGTCCAATTCCTGAAAGACAGACAATCTCAATGTAGGCTTAAGCACTGATGGAGATGTAGGAGAGAGAAGCTGTGGAGATGTCTTTCGTTTGCTTTGCAAACCTGCACACCTTCTTTAAAATGTATTCAGGCAATACAAATCATCACTTTAAAAATGCAAAGTGACATCAAAAGAATAAGCAATACACACATTGTAAAATTAACAATCCAGGAAATGGAGATAGCTACATCTGAAATGCAGCTGACGAAAGCAGAACAGGAACGAGTTACTGGGAACAAGATAAATGCAAATTAGAAATGAGGCACAATTTTTATCAACGAGGATATTTAACCACTGGAAGCAAGTCCCAAGGGAAATGCTGCTCCATTATTCTCCATCTCTCTATGCCTTCCAGGCAACACTGGATGCTTTACAGGAAGAGATGCATTAGTTAAATGCAAGTTGCTGGACTCACTACAGGATAACTAGGTGGAATTTAATGGCCTGTGGTGTACAAGTGGCTGGACTGGATGATTTATTGATCTTTTGCCTTCAAAATCTATGTATTTATATGCTGAGTCACTCACCGTCTTGGCTCTCTGCAAAATCATCTCTCACCTCTCTCCAAACAAAGGAACCCCCTTGGGGCTTCCCAGGATTTTCATTTCTTTTATCAGCAAGCAGCAGCCTTAAGCTCAGGATTAGAAACCCACTGAAATATTCTGATAATTTGGTACAATATTCCCAGGTTGTGATTTATTCAGATCTTTGCTGTTTAGTTCCCATCTCTGACCAAACCACAACTTTTTTTGCTCTGTGTTTGCAGCTTTGGGCTGCCCCACAGGGAAAATCAGCATGTGCTGGGTGGATGAGAAAAGGTGAAGGCATCATTCAAAGATATGTGCAGAAATTGGTCAAATATATGACTAAAATTCTCTTTTAATGATTTGACCCTATACACACCAGAAACCTGAAGCCCTTGGTGCTCTGTAACCGCTTTCAGAAGTGCTCAAAAAAAAAGGCCAGTGGCATAACTGGAAGGTAGTGTTTCTACACAGCAGGCTCAGCATGGGTAGTGTCAGGATTCGTCTCCTCTAGCAGGCAAGAGTTGATCCTCTGGCTCATGGTGTACGTGTAAGAGGTCTAGTCAGGCTCCTGATGAATCCGCTTGTGCAGAGTCCTGTAACCACCACACCAAGACCTTCAATGCATATGCCTAAGCAAGAGTATGGAGGAGTGGAGGCTGCCCAAGATCTACCACCCCGTCCTTTAGACCATTGAGACAGAATCCAAAGGCCAGACCAAGTCTAAATGTTCAACGCCTTGACGGTTGTAGCTTCAGCCGGAAAGCAGCAAATAAGAACGGCTGCTAATTGCCAAATGCATCAGCGAGGGCACGTTTCTGACAGGGTGATATCACTTAGCCTTTCTTCAACCAAGGAGGAAGAATCCTCCTACAGCTCTGAACTGAGAATCCATTCTCCAGTCAGCAAGGGGCCAGGTTTTTTATTCGCTCAGTCGATTGAACTGCGACTTACGAGCACATTTTATAAACACTCTAATAATACATCCACTGGGGTGACATCTATTCTCCTTTAATGAAACTCCTATTCCTAGACATGCAGATTGCTACATGCTGTGTATGCCAACACATATACACAGACACGCACCCACATATCAACAGAATCCAATATAAAACCACTGGAATCAGTTGAAGCTTTGTCCCTCGCTTCAGCAGGTACAGGGTCAAACCCATCAAAAGGGTTGGAAATATGGAATTAAACATTATTCCTCGCTAATATTTTGGGCTGTGATTTCAAAGTCCAGTCCTGATCCCCTCCATGACCCCTGCAGCCACGACTTAAGCCAGAGGTCAGCAACATTTTGCAGCAGGGGGCCACTGTAATGCCACATTAGGTCCAAGCATGGGCCACTTCCAACCTGGCCCATGTCAGGAGTCCCCTGCTGCAAAGCCCCGCACCATTGAAATACTACCGAGTTCCCCTACTACTAAAATGTAACAAAACCACCTCAATGCTGCAGGCCAGATAAAATGACTCCGTGGTCCAAATCTGATCCATGAGCCATAGGCTGGCAACCTGCAGCAGTAGAAATAACAGAAAATAGGACACGATTTACAAACAGGCTTCCTGTGTCCTGTTCACTTTCCAAGACTTGCCATCTCAGTCTCTTGCAGGCACTATCACAAGAGCTGGAGAGTCGCACACTAATGTCCTGGCATACCATTGATTATGGCACATGCACTCTCCACATCATGCTATGTCCATCATATAGCGTGTTAGTACTGCAGAGGAAGTCAGGAGGTATTGCACGAACTTTATCTTGATTCCTACCCCAGAATCCATGAGGTAGCCCTACTCTCCTTCAGAGGACAGTTTGAAACAGTGCTTCCCAAACCTTTCCTCCGCATGACCCCATTTCTGACCCCATTTCCCCAGCATGGCCCCTCACTTCCAACCCACAGCTCCCCACCTCCCCAGGTGCCCCTCACTCCCCATGCACAGCCCCCTGGCCCTGCCAGTGTCCCTCACCCCCCACCCGCAGATCCTCACTCCCCAGAAAACCTGTTTGTGACTCTTGCCCTGCTGGTCCCCATCACTTGCAACCTGCAGCCCCCTGCCACCCCCAGCCCTGTCGAAGAGAGGCCCAAGCTGCCAGGGCTACCGGACCAGGGCCAGGGACCCCTGCCCTCCCTAGCAGTGGCTGAGCTCCAGCTGCCACCTGTGGGAGATGCTGGCTGCTGCGGCCAGAGTAGAGCACAGATCCCAGCTCCCCCAACCTGCCCCCTCTCCCCGTGGGTGGCACGGCTGAAGTGAAGCCCATGTGAGGGATGGAGGATGCGGGCTGCCCGCTGTGGGCTCAGGGCTCCCTGCCCTGCTGCCTTCTCCCTGGAGCCTCTGCAGCCCAGCAGGCAGGACCCAATGCAGGAGGGAGGGGAGGCCCAGAACCCCATATGGGCCACACCGCCATGGAAAGCAAGTGGCAGCAATGCGGAGTTGTACCCCTGCTGCTGCCATTTGGGCAGGGGGCGCCTTGCCATGGCAGCACAGCTGGCATAGGGCTCCCAGCATTGGCACTATGCCTCCCCACCCTGCTGTGCTGCAGAGGCCCCAAGGGGAGGATAGCAGGATGGGGAGCCCTAAGCCCACAGTGGACAACTTGTGTCCACCCAGTTCCCATGCACAAATCTGGTGGAGCACATACCGCCCCCCCCAATGCTTCCCTCCCTGGGAACGCACAACCCCATTTTTTATCTTTGCAACCCCAAGATTGGGAACCATTAGTTTAAAACACTTGGATGAGCCACAGTGATATTTTCTCCCTCTAACAATGGGTTCTTCTTACAAATGTCACACTTGAGATTCCCGTAAGAGCCAGTTACCGACCATGCAAAGTTAGTTGCAGTCTTTGAGAACCAAGAGGACACAGATATGAAGGGTCTGTTCTGTGCTACTTTAACCTCCTTAGTATTGCTGGCCTGCCAGACTGTGCCCTATATAAAGGCAGAACATGCCTGTCCTGAGTTTGCTGGGGACTTTATAAGAAGGTGCGGTTAATGGCCAATGTCCCTAATAGAGAATAGAGGTCGGGGAAGGCACTAAGCTGCTAGTCACACTAAACAGCAGTTTCTAAGCTATGTCAGCAAATGCTCCAGTCTGCAGGCAGCCATGCAGAGGAAAGACTGGAGAAGATATTACTCGCTGAGAAACCATTCAAAATTTAGAGCCAGAGGATGAACAGCTAACAATGCACTGTGCTGTCCATCTGAAGCCTTCAAAGCACTCGGTGGACATGCACTCAGTCAGTCCTAGAACATCCCCAGCGGTCCATGTTATCTCCACTTTCCAGAGCAGGAAACTGAAGTACACAGAGATGACATCCACTTGCTCAGCATCACCCAGCAGCAGAGTCCTAGTGTCCTGAATCCTGCCCTAGACCGTCCAGGGGGTGCACACATTCCCTGGCAAACTCCTCCTGGACAGAGTTATCCCAGCAGGCAACTCCACAGAAACCAGGCATCTTATCTCCTGCAAACAAAACACTACAAAACCGGGTAGCCTCATTACCCAACCCCCTGCCCCCCAGGATAAAATCACAGTAGGCTCTGATTTAGCTCCAAGAGGGGTATGCAAACCCCTTACTGCCTTACTGACCGGACACAGTGGATGGGATTTTACCTCGGTTGGAGTGGCTCATGCTCGAAGACAAGGACTTTTGCTTCTGACGCTTCACTGTCATCATCACCTGCTCCTGGACCCTCTGTTTTCCAGTGCCCTTAGTTTTCAGCTTGTGATCCGAGGGTAAGGCCAGGGTGGAACTAGCCTGGTCTTGGAAACACTCATAAGCCAGAGCTGTTTTCAGCGGGGAGTGAAGCATGGTGGCAAATAGAATTGGGGGGGCTCAACTTCACTAGACTGCACTTGGGACAAGACAGCAGTAACAACTGGAGCTCTGGGTTTAATCTCAAGAAGTGCCCCTTGCCATGCGTCCCTGTGCCGCTGGCTTCTCAGTGCTCCTTCCCTGGGCTCCGCTCTGGTGTGTGAGCCGACACGCCCTCCGTCAGACTGGATATACAGCCCTGCCTGCACACACCCACTCTGCCGCAGCACTCGGAGCACAGCCTTCCCAGCGCAGGTGCTGCAGGGCAGGTAGGTTGAGTGCTGCCCTCGGCGTGACTGCGCTCTCCCAAACTCATCACATCGATGCAGCAGGCAATAGCGAAGGGGTGGAAAAAGGCTGGGGCTTGGGAGGAGAGAGGCAAGCAAGCTCGGGACAGCTTTCTCTTCAGCAATTCTTTCCAAGTCCCCTTTACAGACTCATAGCTGTTGCTTGTGTGATTAAGTAGGAATCCCTACTTGAACTGGCAGATCCCCCCCAGCAATGAGCCTTCCTCACCAGCCAGCTCACGCTGCCTTTTGTTTTGATGTTTTTCTTTTCCCACGGCTAAGCTGGATCAAAATCCAGTACCAGTGTCAGGGACTCAGGAGACCAAAAGGAAAAATGTTCTGAGAGCGAAGTGTTAAATTTAGGCCTAGGGAAAGCTGAGCTCACTTCTGCCACAGACCCCAAGTCATTCTCACTCCGATGGAGCGCTCCTTTGAGGGAATAATAATAACACTGCTTTGTCTCACTGAGACAGGGAATGCGTCCCAATCCATGCATGTGCCACACGTAGCATAGTATGGCTGGTGGGCACATCGGTAACACTGACATCGCCCCAATAGTGCTCAATATTGAAGCACTCTTGCGAGCTCACTCCAAAGAGACCGTCTACCAGAGTCTGCTTGTGCTCTTTGATCCGTATACTTGAAGGACAAACTCCCAGAAATCTCTCCCAAAGGGGTAACACTATAGTTCCTTACTAAGAAAATCTAAAACAGGTATGAAACACAGGCATGGGTGCAGCATAAATAGCAGAGCTTGTCGGAAAGCGAGGGGTTGAGTGAAAAAAATGTTGCCTTTTTAACCGAAACACCAAAACTGAAAATATTTAAACCAAAACTTCCAAACACTCAGAAATGTGCCAATTTTAGCCCAAAACTTTCAGCGTTGAGGTTGATTTTCCTATAAATATGCATACTGTAGAAGATAACGTATACGTTCTACACAGGTACTTGTTTTTTGTGAAAACCTAAGTTTCTATCAGAAAAAAAAAAGTTATGACCAAATTTTCAGGGAGCCCTATTAAAGCAAAAGGCAGATGTAGGAAAAAGACTACAAAAATAGAGCGGTGGCAATGCAGGAGCAGGAACAAGCCCATAGCTGGGGCATTGATCAGGATATCTGTAGGCAGAGGTACAGGTGGTAGGTATATAAATACAGGTGTATTTAGATGAACAAGCATCAGAAGGGACAAGCTGCATTTCTGTACAGAGATCATAAATGATGCAGAGGAGTTACAGGCCTTCTTCTGAAGCTTCCCCTTAATGGCCGCGTCCAGACACGCATGAACATTTGGTTTCCCAGGGACAACTAGCAGCAGTGCACCTTGCGCCACCGCTAGTTGTCCCTGGGGAATGCCTGTGCCATACGTGCTCTGATGAGTGGCAAGTTACCCCAGATCAAGTAGGGGAGGCTGGGGCCAGCACCGGACTGGCCCCAGCAGCCTTACCTGGGGTCCTGGGGGCCTCCCAGAGCTGCAGTAGCAGCAATCCTGCTGCACAGAGCCTGGCCAGCAGCTAAGTGCGTCTCCAGCTGGCCACGCTCTGACTTCGGTGGTGCACGCTGCTGCCACATGTGCCACTCCATTTTATTTTCCATGGGTTTTTATGCCCATCCAGGGGTCAGAAAAACCCTCCGTGCTGCTCCCTTACAGTATGGAGAACAACTGAACGTGCAGTATGTGGCACCGTAGACATGTCAGTGGTGCCACATACTGCATGGCCATGCTCGTCTGGATGCGGCCAATGAGTCTCAGTGGTGCAAAAGATCAAGTCCCCAGGCCCGAAGTGTTATCTCAAGTCACAAATTAGGGGGCACTGATGGGTTTGTTCATACAGAACTGTGAGGAAACATGATAACTTTGCTATGATTCATGCTTCTTTTTTTCATATCTCCCTCAAAGCATGTTATTTGACTGCAAAGATGGATTTCTTTGCAAGGATGAGAGCAGTGCAAAAGCAAAAAGAAAACACAGCAATTTTAATGCTGGCAGCAGTTCCAATGCAGCAATGAACAATTTGCACCGTTCCCTCTTTTCTTGCTGCATAGGAGACACTTGTCCACTGTACCACCAAAGCAGGCTCTCTGTGCTAAAAAGGAGCCCAGGAGAAAAACAGAAGGAGGTGGCTTCAGGTTGAAAAGTGTTGGATCTGCAGTCACGTGATGGCTCAGGACTAGAAGCAGGAAGAAGGAAAGGGGCACTTCCATGTCAGGACTGGGGAACATTGCAGAGGTCTGTGGGTGGGATACAGAGGGCTGGACATCAGTTATGGGGAGCATCGGCAGACCTGTTGATGGAAGCCAACAGGAATGCCACGGGGTTCTGTAACACGGGATTGGGGTGAAACCACTTAACTATATGAAAGAAGTTTCTATGCCTACCCTCTGCACCTTTCTACCCAGTGCCATGGCAGTCTGTGAGCTTCCAAATGCAGCTACAGAATGAAAGAGAAATAAACTGGAGCTGTTCTCTTGTATCAGTTGATGGGTGACATTTCCTGCCAAATAATTCTGCACTTAAGATTTCAGTGCCAGGTGGTTGTGAGCAATGTTGAGAACTGACCTAGAAAACCAAATGTGGTTTTGCATAGGCCCAAACTCTCTCATAGTACAGTATAGAAAATATTTAATGAACTAACACAGTCCCGATAATTCACCGAACTATAATACCAATATTACATTGAGACGTCAACTGCATTTCATTACCAGCACAAAATAGCTGAGCAGGGCTGTTGAACTGTGAGAAGACAAATGAGGGAAGTTTTAGAAAAGATGAAAGGCCAGAGGCTCTAGTGGGGTAATTTATAGCACCTCGCTCAAGAAGTGACATTTCAAGAGTCTTTCTGAAAAGAACCCAGCTCATCCAAGTCCTTCACTTCATGCAAAGGCCTCAACAAAGACGTGTTTTTGCATCTTCCCAACAATTGGCAGTTCCGCCCAGGATTAAAGGTACAATTTACACACCCTGGAAAGGAGACATAGCACTTGCTAGACTGTGCTGAAAGTGCAGCAATCCAGCCCTGATGCAGTACCAGAATGACAGGCAGGTCAAAACCCATTCATCTGCAGACACCATTGTGTCAAATCCCCACCTGCTCTCCTGGGCTAAAGTATGCAGTTCACTAGGGCACCAAGAAGGTAGGAAAACTAAAGCGGCCCAGAGTTTAGAACATGAGCCGCGGAGGTACAGAGGGTGGATGCAGCTAGTTAGATTTGGACAGGGTGCAAAGTGGAGGTGCTGGTAGCTGCTTTCACACAGGCTGAGCATTACATGATAATGCCATGAGTCACTGCTCCACTCCCCGCAGACTCAGGGACACACCTCATGCATCTGGCCTGTTCAAAGCATTTTTGTTCTGAGTTTCCAGGACCCTTGCCAACAAACTGATTGCAATCAAAGAGTTTGCTGGCCGAAAACCATTTCCATAATGGTGCAGATCTCTCGTTGGAACTTGTCAAGTACTTCACACTGAGTGTCTGCGACTCAACCTCTACCACAGTCAGAAAGTCAGGGTAGATTTGCACCTTATAGATGAACTAAATCAGAGATGTCTAGCACAGGCTTTTGTGAGCCCAAACTCATCTTATCACAGTATCTGATGAAGTGAGCTCAGGCTCACGAAAGTTTATGCTATATATCTCTGATTTAGTCAAGTTGTAAGGTGCAAATCTACCATTGTATCTTCTGCCTGACCTCTCTCTCTACCTGCAGTATTATCCAGGAAAACAACTGTGTGCACCAGGGTAAATATCCAAATGCCTGAAATTGTGTTTATTCAGAAGGAGTCTTGCTGGGCTTCAGTGATAACTGGTATTGTGCCCAGGGCAGGATGATGCCTAGGAGAGAGGGATAATAGCTGCTGAAGCTTTCCTTAGTTCCCTGTGAGAATGCCAAGGAAGGGTGTGATCCTGTGAGGTGTGGCACACCCTGAAACCCAGCGGCACTGAAGACACCCAGAACTTTGCAGTCTGCCTGAAAATTTAGGGTCTAAAGGACTGAAAAAGAGTAAAGCCACTGGTGACTCTGTGCAGCTGCAAAACTCAGGTTCAACCTTGTCTAGTGACACTCTCTGACAGCCTATTTCTATGCCATATGTTATGAAAGACCCCCACCTATCCCTGCAGTTGAGGCGATGTCCCAGCATCTGGACCAGTAGGAGGAACTTGCTGGGCAGCCTTGTGGTGAAGCACACCAGATGGGACGGGGTTCTTACTGCCTTGATTCCAAAGTTCCTGAACACTTAAACCAGCAGCAGCAGCACCAATCCCTTGCAGTCAAGGACGACTGTCTTCCATGATTGCCTTATCTGCGAGTCCAAAGATGGGTGACGAGGCCGATCTGATCTCAACAGGTTCTACTGCAACTCAGGCATGTGTTTCTGTGCGGTGTGGGTGGCATTGGGTCCTTGGTTCGATCTGCAACACGCTGCTCCTGCTGTTCCCACTTTTCTGTCTCCCATTGTCATCATGAGGTTTCCAAGTATTGAGATCCTTGCAGCAGATCTTCCTCCATTTGGGGCAGTCCTGGGTGATAGTCTCCCATGAGTTCATTTTGATGTTACATTTTTTCAAGTTGGCCTTGAGACCGTCCTTGAAGTGCTTTCTCTGTCCTCCTCTTGAGCATACACCTTGATTGAGCTGGTAGAATAAAACTTGCTTCAGGAGTCTAGAGTCGGACATCTAGATGACGTGGCTGGCCCAACAAAGTTGATGTCGAATGATTATCGCTTTGATGCTCATGGCGTTTCCTGGCGAGAAGACAGTAATGGTGTGTCTGTCCTCCCACTGGATTTGAAGGATCTTCCACAGGCAGCATTAATGGTGCTTCTCCAGTGACTTGAGTGTCCTCTGCGTTGTCCACGTCTCAGCTCTGTACACTAAGGTAGGGATCATGACTTCTTGATAAACTGTGAGCTTGGTTTCAAATCTGATGTCACGATCTTCAAACACCCA